CAGTTGAGGGGGGCAGTTGAGGGGGGCAGTTGAGGGGGGCAGTTGAGAGCAGTTGGGTTGATTGAGGTTTGGTTCTCGGACGTTCCAAAAGAGTTCACACTTTGAGGTCGCGGCACACTGTCCTCCTTCTCGCTGGTCGGGCTGCTCGACCGGTGTCACCTTTTCGCGCGACCGAGCGAAAGAGAAGCCGTGTAAGCATGCAAGCTGACGGAGACGTTCCATGCATTTGTGGCCCGTGTGCCACTCCTGAATGTTGCAGTGTGCACCGTTGGATTGTTCAGAAGTTACCGACAGCCTGAATGTTGGATTCCAAATTTGCCTTACTGTAGTTGGCTTTGCCTGCAGCAAAAGCATTCTTGCATTATAGGGTGGTTGACACTTTTTCCTTAGCCTTTGCACAACACCTTCTTTAGGCTTGCAGACATCTTGCAGACGTGATGAGTGCTGAAGCCTATATTCACATGAGGTGCTCATGCTGATACATTTTCTTCAGCGTCGAGAGCCACCCATTCTGCCATCATTGCAGGAGTGAAGTATTGTCGGGCAAACTCGGTGATTGTGCTTGTGGTGACTCTATTCTGTTAACAGATGACCGATGATGTTGACATGTGAGGACTTGGCCTTTAGCCACAATGAAAAGCCCAGATACATCAACGGTGTAGATTGTCGGTGCGAGACTCAACTTTGATAGCGGAGACTCAACTTTTCACGCTTCGGTGACCATTTTTGTTCGAGGTTCTGTACAGATGCGGCACAGATTGAACGGGAAATGGCCTACTTAAGAGGTCCGCGCTCTCCCAACAAGGACCTATGTCCTTGGCTCCTTTTTCTTGGGACACGTACCAGCTAGAGATGAAACCATGCCAGCTTGAAGCTCTTTTCCGCCAAGGAGGATGTGGGTACACTGCTTCTTGACTTCTTCCGGCATTTCGGTCACGAATACCGGTGCATGTCCTCAGTGCTCTGAAACTCTTCGAGTTGAAACTTTTCTTTTGCTTAGAAGTGTGACACCAGACTGGTGTTTCATATCTCACCAGGAGCGGAATTATCCGCATTCGAGACACCAGATCTGTTCTACCACCAGGGGATGAGTGCCTTTCCGAGTTCTTTTTTCCAGAACAGATGAGGTTCAAAGCTCGGAGTTCTGAATTTCTGAGGTCAAAGTGCTTTCTGGTGGTAGATAATCCATTTGAGGCGAGTTCCATGCAGTTTTGATTGTTTGGAAGGCACTGTGTGCAGCGAAAAGCAGGTTGGCAAAGACGTGGCCAACGTTGACGCTTCCCAGCAGGGCTCCATCCGCAAGGAGAATTCCAGTTGGAGAGTATAGAGAATTCACTGCCATCATGCATACACATTGTCACATTGGGTTTGTCCGTTCTTACCTGTAACAGTCAGTAAACAATTATTACTATTTTTGATCAAGGCCTGCAACTGAACCATCATCATCCACTGTTACAGGTAATTCATTCTGAGAGCTGAGAGCAGCGTGCCTTCTTCTCTTTGGTCCGGTCTCAAGATCACGTTGCTGGCTGTGACAGGAGTTTCGCCGAGCTTGGAGCTACTTAAGCCAGGCAGCTTCGCCGGAAGGAACAAAGCATAGGAGCTTCGCCAAGCAGAAGTTCCTCGATTCTGGAACTGATTGCTTGTGTGGTTCATGTTCGTAGTTCTCGCCATGTATCTTGAGCCTCCTGGAAAAACATCATCCGTCCGACCCACCAGGGCCGCAGCTTCATGGAGCTCTTAAGCTCTCCGGACGCAGCTCTCCGGTGAGACCGCTGTTGATCAGACGCGGACCAGACGCGGACAAAAATGGATGCGGATGCCCATGGTGGTCTTGCCAGTGGCACTGACATTGCTTTTTTTTCTTTGGTCCCGTTTCTGTTGGCACGGTGAGTAGCCTTCATGTTCCCATCGTCCAGGGTGAGATTGTCCCACGACGCCTCAGTGCTTGGATGCAGTCGCTAGGACTGTGGGTTTCCATTGGAAGCGCCTTCACAACAGTTGACACCTTGGCAGGACAACTTCCTCCTGAACGCGGTACCATTTACCGGATTAAGGACCGGGGTGGTGTAATCTGAGCTGTGGTTTACATTAGGGTGTATCCCATTACCAGTGACTGTCGGTACAGGATGATCACTATTTTGTGGAAAGGTCTTTACACAATTTTACATGTCTTTACTAACTAATCATAACCACAATCATAATCATAATCGTCGTCGTCGTCCTCCTCCTCCTCCTCCTCATCATCGTCATCATCACCATCATCATCATCATCATCATCCACTGTTGCTGGTAATGGGGATATACCCAAGCTTAGATGGATTAGAATAGGGCCACATTGGTGGAATGTTTCCAGTCACTCGGGATGTCAGGCCATCCTCGCGGTGAAGGGACATCCTTACAAACATGTCTTCCACGCTGTCCAGCGGGCCTGTTGCAGTCATCGGCAACTCTCGGCAACTCATCGGCAACGCTGCGCACACTTGGTGCATGAGCAGTTCATTGATTCCGTGCTGTGCAGACCTCTGTGCAAACGTGGTGTGAAAAACGGGGGTTCTGGCCCTTAAGTATTTGATCACCAGGCTTTCTTGATCCAGGGTGAACATTTAAACTCCAAAAAGCCAGGTCATGGACATCAGTGACGAGGATGATGCGGGTCCGTGGCAAGAAGGTGAGAAGAAGGCCAGGACCACACCCTTGCGGGTCCCAGGAGAAGAAGGCCAAGCGTCCAAAGCAGCAACAGGATAGGAAACACAGTTCTAAATTTTGGAATGCCTCAAAACCAGGAGCTGTGAGAACCTTGCGGGGGGCTAGTCGTAAAGTTTATGTTAGTCCATCTATTTTGTGTCCATTGTTTGTTAGTTATAATATAAACAAATATTTTGGGTGACATGACCTGCGTGAGGTGTCCAAGATTGTATTCATTGGCAAGGCACTGGCGTGTTCGGACAGGCCGGGTATTGCATGTGTCAGCGACCTTCGTGCCTGCAGTCTTTGGACCAGAAGTTCCTACGGGAAGGATTTGAGGCCCGGCTGAAGGACACTGCTTCTAGTGAAGAAAGCTTCGTGCCGCTTTCATGATGTTCATGGTGTGACAACATGGCTGTAGATCTCTCTCAGTGGGAATGCCAGTCTATCATTTTCCAAATGCTATTGAATAGCTTCTTGTTACTACTAGTAAGGCACTTGTTCCTAGTAGCTTCTTGTTACTACTAGTAAAGCACTTGTTCCTAGTAGCTTCTTGTTACTACTAGTAAGGCACTTGTTCCTAGTAGCGAGGCACTTGTTCCTAGTAGCGGATACTGCTTGGAGAGTTCTAGAAGCGAATTCCTTGGCGCAGGCCATTTTCGAGTGAGAGTGCTCCTTCGAAAGTTTCCACCCGCACACATTGCTTCCTGCACTGAAGCATGGGTACAACAGTTCCGAAGGGTTCAGACTGTGTGGCCGTTGGAATGGTCCTCTTAATGGAGCAGTAGATGAACAGCAAGCCGTACCCAGCTTTCAGATGCCACCCCGAAGACAACTCCAGTGGTGGCGCAGGAAACAGGGTGTCAAATCGCTTCTGAGGGGTGAGCTTGTTCTCAAGCCTAATCCTGGTTGAACATGCATGTACAGCCGTCCACGCGCTTCATTGACACCGCAGGAGCAAGGGTCCTATGACATGAAGCCAGTTCCGTCATTTGATTGTGGACTCCTTGCATTTACATCCTGCCAAAGACCGGCAAGACGACACCCTCCCGAGAAAAGACATTGGGATGAGATTGGCACTTGGCACCCTGGGGTTTGTGTGGGTGATTGCGAAACAGGCCACACACACATGCAACACTCGAAGTCTGTTTGGCCAGCTTTGGGGTCAAGTTGTCGAAGGACTGTCCATGAAAGACGGGAAGGTGCATCTCAATTTCTCAATCAAAACGGGTGATTATTGCATATATATATATATAATATGCAATATTATACTATTTACATATTTACATCTTTCTCATGTTTCGTCATGTGTTTGCAATCTGTTTGTTGGTCTCAATGCTCACTCTTCTTTTATTGGTCGATGTGTTGGAATCGGGTGGTTTCAGGAAATGCCCCTTCTTCCCGTTGCAGGGAGTTTTGGGAGTGACCTGACATAACGAGAAAAAGAACGTCACGTTGTCATTCGCACAATTTCTGCGTCACACACATGAGCCATGTCGCTACGTATGCTTCAGAAGAAGGTTCGAGCATGAGACAAAACATGGCAAGACAAGGGTATTGCAAGGTTGGTGCAACCTGTTTTTATTCGAAGGTTGGTGCAACACCATCCGAGACGTCAGCTGAAGCAAAAGCCGCAGTCCAGCCAGGCATGACCAGACTGTAGCTCTCTGCATGCACTTGCTCACCACTGGCTGAACAACCTTTCAGTTTCTCATTGTCAAACAGGCATTGGATGAACTTTTCTCTTGATGATGCGCTTGATGTAGCTTAATCAATTTAGGGACGAGTCATGCCTCTGCAGGGGGGCGCAAACCTGGACAGGGAGGAGGAGGCCGGCAAGTTTTTGTGGACTGTTTGGGACAGTAAAGGTCTGAAATTGCGAGGAGCTGCAAGAATGACAAGTCAAATCATTTCCTAGAGCCGCCAAGTATTGACAGGCCCAGTAAGATCGCCTTTACCATGAATCAGGGTTGAACATGCGTCCAAACATGTCAAAACACAGAAAGCTTTTGATGCGTCACCGTGGCATCCGGTGATGTCACAGGCTACTACTCTTCCACGGGTGATGCGCCACAAAGCGGAGGCCTTTGCTCGACCAAGTGGTGCCCGTTCTTTGTTGTGCCTTACAGTGCCTTACCGAACATTCTGCCTCCTGAAAAACTGGCATTTCGTCTTCGAACTCGCAGGCAGTTCATTTTAGATTGAGAGGTCACAATTCACATCATGTAGCAATGTGATCTATCACCGACATGTTTGTGTCCAGCGAAAGGGACCCCATCCGAACGACTCCCCCACATCTCCCACAGCGGCAAGGCGGTTCTCACCGCCGGTTCGCTCAGAAGAAGAACGACCTCCCCCAATGTACGGTACACCCAAAAGTGTGGGTCAAGATCAGGGGAAACCTCAACACAGGCTTCCAAATGAACTTTCTTGGAAAGATCACGAGGGCAGCACCGTTGCAATCAATGCCAGGTGGAAGCTACTATGACACACACAAAGCCACAGGCGTGGTTACGTGGTTCGGGGCAATGCCTGCAGCTATGGACATATTCAATTCTTTATCGGATTCTTTCAGTGTTTTGGGGCAGGCAGTCACAAGACCCCAAGCAATCACATCTAAATTGCAATCACTCCAAGAAATTGCATGGGCGTCTGTGGCCTTCAATTTGTGCAGGTGGTGCTGCTGGTGGATCTTCAACCATGTCATCAGGCAAGTCAGCCGGCGAGCCGGCCACCCAAGACCCACCCGTGGAGCACCAACCCCCTTGGGCCCTTGGTAGAGGTCCCAACTTGCACACCCCAACATCTACAGGTCCGAAGCGACTGACCGGATTCACTGACTCCGTAGGCTACGTTGCTTCTCCTGGAGTTCGTGGCGGTTTTCATGGCAGTGATGCACAGAGAGCACATGTGGAGGCAATGCGTCTGCACCCCAGACAGTTTGAGATTCCTTGGACCAAATAAAAAACAACACCTGCAACCACAAGACCCTTCAGCTTCAGGTCGTTCAGTCGAGGAATCTGCGCCAGCAAGTATGCCCGTGCAGGATAGATTTGGCCCCCTTAGACTGTCCTCGACCGATTCTAATTGGTCCTGTCAACGCAAACCTCTTTTGGATGGAAGGACGTTGCTGTGCGGTCGCACCTAGGGCAGGAAGCTCAGTTTGCTTTTCACAAACGAGGTGTGATGGTGCATCAAACAATTGAACTGAGGCTTAATGCTCTGAAGGAGAGAAAGCAGAAAGAGGAGGAGGCGCACAAAGAGAGCGATAGGAATCATTCGCTCGCGTCGGTGTCTTGGATAGTTTGCCTCCATGGTTTGCATATTTTTGCATCCTCTTACATTATATAAGATCTATCTATATATATATATATAAATCTCTGCTCCAGCTGCAGGAAAAGCAAGCAAAACGAGAGGCTCGCCCAAGGGCCCCTTGCGTCCAGCCGCGCTCGGTCTGTGTTTCCTAGCGCTTTTGTTTTGCGCTCCTCGCCAGGCAGCCCGAGCGAAGCGACGCTCGGAAGCCACTCAGCCGGGGACACCCAGAGACCGCGTCGCAGGTGCTTTGCCACCGGGAAGCGCCGTTCGAGCTGTGTACGGCATTGAGACCAAGCGCTTTTGAAACGCGGTAGAAGCTCACTTAGACACACTCCCATCTTGCAACACCATTCAATACCTTGCAGCATAATGCTCACCTTTGACACATAGTTTATAAGGAGGTATAAAGCTGAAATGTGAACAAGAACCAGGTTGAGTTTCCGGGGTGTTGCGTTGTATATCTCTTGAAGATGATTTGTGTACCCTTTTTGTATCTGAAATTCAGGCAAGAAGTCGCTGACGAGCAGGCGCTGGCTGAATGTCCCACTGGCGTGTTTTGGGGCAAAACGCACGCTCAACGTGCATTGGACTGGCCTTTCGGTTTGGAGCTCAGGTGAAGCACAAGCGTGGCAAGACAGTGAAAGCAATGAGCGAGTCAAGCCTCGGCCACAGTGGTTGTCTTGCATCAAACGAGCAGGGCAGGAGGTGCAGGCGGTGCAAGCTTTTCGCACAAGGTTGAAGATGTTGAAGTCACCTAGAGGTTACACTAAGTAAGTCAAATATAGATGTTTTAGAATGGTTTGTATAGAGTCCAGAGGAAAATGGTATTCCAGTAGTCCATTTGCAGGTTGCTTCTTCCGCCCTCACACCACTTCGAGGTATGAAGCTGCTCTGGTGGTCCGAATTGCTATCCGATTTGGAAGTGCATCAGTCGGGGTCCAATCTTCACAGATGGAACGCACACTTCTAAGAACAGACCAAACAAAGGCCTGACTTGAAGCCTGTGCGAACTCGTCGTTTCTCCGTGAAGTCCGAGTTCTCCCCAGTTGTTCCCTCAAATTCGGAAGTTTGGACGTTTCGAGGTTTGGACCAAGATTGCGGAAGCGCGTGCAAGAGGCGTCCGATGCATTGGACGGTGCGTGCTTCACCGAATGGTATCCAATCGAAACCTCTTGGGCTTTGCAGGTTCTGAACTGCCCTTGGATCCACGTAGAATCTATTTGTTGGATGGGTCCTCAGATGAGCTGTATCCTTATGCTTTCTGGCTTGTTCGATGTTCTGTTTCATGCCTGAAACCAAGGCACACCCTGACAAGTGCCCCTTGCCAGAAGCGTGGTGACCCCAGAAGGAAAGAAGCACCATCAAACAGGACTCATTGAGGTTTGGTCTCAGCCACTCATCGCCTCTTTTTGCCGCAACTCTTAGCCTTCCCAATGTGACAGGGCGGATGCCACAGCGATCTTGAATGCACAACGTCCTCCAGAGATGACAGAGGTTTGTGGACATTGTGTGGTGAGAACACGGGCACGATTTCTGTTTGGCATTCCTTTTTCAGTTTTAACAACTACAAGATTTCGGTCTGCGAGTATACAATAACATATATCTTCTGTTCCTGGCGAGATTTCTCAGCTTGTGTGGCAGGCACGTCCACGAGCTGTACCAAAGGCTACTGCGAAAGCACCGCCTGCAGCGGCCCCTCCAAAGGCTGAGGCACCATCAGCCGCTCATTGCTTGAAGCTTCAAATCAGTGGTAAAAGCTAAAAACTCTATCTTTAGAAGAGATCCTACCCTTGGTTATATTAAGACTATTAATGCTAGTCAAAAGGACACATATATACAAATACATTCTTATTTTAGGACATATCAAACGAAACTACTACAGTAGCGGTCCTCCATCCTTTGGCTTTCGTGCCTTCAAAATGGGCGAATGCAGGCTATGCCGGAAGCGGATGTGGAGGAGGCTGTGCCGGTCGCCCAGAGGATTCGTTTGTGCCGGTCGCCCTTGGAATGTTTTCAGGTGGGCGAAGAAGTTCGTTTGGATCCAGAGAGTGGAAAGGACTGCTGCACACCATGGTGCATTCTTTTGGCTGCTTGGCACCTCATTTCTTTTTTGGGTGCATTCTGTGTCTTTTTAATGATTATGCCGCTTTTTGCCAAGCAGAAGCCATTTATCCCCATGCCGAAATTTGTTGAAGGAAGTTACTTTCCAACAGCACGTATCTCAGCGATTTGTTGCTTTTGCAGAAGAACTTGCTCTTGGTGGATTTTCCAAGAACATGTGGGAACATCATCTTCTTGTGCTGACGCTTTTGCTGTTCGACCAGGCCCAGGTGTCGATCAGCTAGAGTCACAGTTAGATGCTCAAGGGACGTGGTTGTTTTGGCGTTCTGAGGCTCCAAGAAATGTACAAAATCCATTGGATGCCTGAAGACATCGAGGTCCCAAGTTGCTGCAATTTCTTGAAAAGAGATGTCTAGAACTACCAAAGTGAGATTAATATGCCAGCGATGGCATAGCTTACACTTTAGTAGCCTTTGTATGATAGAGTCCAATCGGAAGTCGCCTGATTGCAAGGCCTATTGGGCTTCAGACTGTGAACCAGTGAAGAAGTCGACAAAGCCTCGGACAACCCAGGCAAGTGGCCAGAAATCCAGACCACGATGCATCAAGTGGCCAGACGATGCATATCTTGCTCGGCGATGTTTTTGTTGAAGGGGTGTCTCGCTGTTCAGATAGACTATGCTAGACTGATAGACACTCGTCGTCCATATTGGATCATGATGGAGCTTCCCACGTGTTTTTGGATTGTTTGATCCACCTTGGTGAACTTGGAAGAAAAGCAGAAGAGAGCCCTAGCAAAAATCTCCCGATAGGCTCCAGCAGAAACTCCAGCTCCCAGTACAGCGGCGGGACATGCTGGAAGCGGAGCACCGGAGGCGATCGGATTCGGTTCGTTTTGTTGCGTGCCAACCAATGGACTCCGATGTGTTTTAATCGACAAACTGAAGGGTTGAAGGGTGGCTCAATTTTTGATGTCAAAATCAATTTTCCGTGGCATGGTTTTCAGTTTCATTTTCCGTCTCCCTTGGTAGTGCCAGCATCTCTACCTCTACTTCACTGAACCAACCAAAAGATGATTTCGAGGCCCGAAAGACGAGAAGATTCTGAGCTTTTGGCCACTTGAAAAACAACGCCTCGCGCATCCTGGCTCTGAGCTTTGCACACTGAGAGTCTGTTTGACCGCATCTGGTTTTGATTCACGTGAAGGCTCTGCAGTGCGATATTCTTCGGTCCAACTCTTCTGGCAGGTTGAAAGCTGCTACTGCCACCCATTTGAGACATGACTTAGTGTCGCGTGAACATTGGAGGAGGGAGAGGCATGCATACTTGGACACCTTCGCATAAGCACAAACGCTATCAAGTGCTCATATTGTTCATATTGTGCAAATGCGCACACTCACACTGAGACTCAGCCCAGAACGTGGCACACAGATACTCGCAACACAAATCCATCCTGAACAGACGCGCACACACACACAGACAGAGACACACTCTACACAAGCAAATCAGAGTGACTGTTGCCACACCTACGGAACCAACAAAGCCCCACAACAAAGTAGGGTGGGTCATGGAGATGTGATATGACACATTATGCAACATGTAGCGAGTGATGATCTCTGACCAGCCATATGCTTTCAGCTCTGCCGACGTGCATACCTCAGTTCAGCCAAGAACCTGAGATTTGCTGAGTGTCGACTGCGCATTTTGTTTGCTAGTTGAATGGTGCATGAAGCATCAGGAAGCTAGTTTTCTAGTTTTCTAGGTTTATTGCCAGAGTGCGAGATGCGGGCTCCTCAGACTTGCTGCAAGATTGGAGACTTCTACGTCTCATCGCTGCCTGTTCTGAACGTCGGCTCCTGCAATGAATTCCATGGTTGTAGACACAGGATGCTAGTTTGCCAGTATCTTGTTATGCGAAATGTCTGTGCTCTCCTTTCGGAGACTTCATACCGCTGAGCTGGTCCCGTCGAGCGCTTGTTGCGCTGCATGGCACCAGCCAACTTGCAACGCCACCTGATATCAGCAACGACCACCACTGTTCAACACTGCAACCACCGGTGGCTGGCCTTTTGCCACGAATGGAAGGCGATCCCCACTGGCAACGATCACCATTTTCCAGCATGACAAACATTGGAAGCTCGTGTTTGGAAGCCCTTGTAGACCTTGTAACATTGTAGCCGACCCGAGAATCCTTCTCAGGTTGGGAAGCAATGCAGGAGGCGCAGCACACCTTGAAGTCAAGTCTATCCCTCCGGGACGGTGGTCTTTCTGTTTGACAGGCTCTTGCGGCTGTGCCCCCCAAACGAATGGAGGCGGAGCCTGCGGAGCCTCCGGAGCCTGCGGTTCCGGAGCTTGCGGAGCTGGGGCCAATGTGATGAGCCTCGTCATGTCAGGGAACCGCGTTGAAGGGAAGCTGAGATGAACCGAGCGGCATGGCAGTCGACTCACCTGTGGTCGCGACCAGACCAGCGACACTCAGGACAGGGATTTGGAACCTACCGCATCGTGGGGCCGGGAGCTCGGAAGAGGCGGACACTCTCAATGTTACTCTTGGGAAGCAAAGCCCCTATGGACTTATAGGATAGGGAATCTGAAAGAGTTCCACGTCACCCTTGGATCCTTCACCTCCATGGCCGAAACACCCTGAAACACTCTGAAAGACCTGGCCGAAGATTGATTGAGGTCGCGGTCTTCCGTGAATCGCCCAGTCAAGCTCCGGCGTTCTGCAGTCATTTGTCAGAGGAACTGCACAAGTGACCAACTCAGAAGGTTCTTTCGTCCTTGGACACAAGAGTATGTAGAAAGAAGCTTTTCGGACAAAGGCATTTTTCAGTACATTCTTCTATCCAACATTTCAGAGCAATCTCGATTGACCTTCTCCAGGTATGCATTTGGCACTGTTCGTTTCGAGAATATCGACGTTTCCAGCGTGAGTTGGGCAGAGGCAAGCCCACTTTCCGCAACATCCCGATGACTTAGAACTTAGGTCCCATGCTTGCGGGTGTTTTTTTTTGGTCAGAGGCAGTTTGCGAGGGGACACAACTCTTGACTATGACTTGTCTGCCAGGGCCATTTATCTGAGCTGTTTGTCACCTTAAGACAAGCTGGGGCAACATCGCAGAGAATCAAGGCGCCAACTTTCAATTTGTCAAATGGAATTGATCTATGCATATATATATATATATTGAAATATAGAAGTAGTCCAGACCAAATAGAAATAGATTTAAGAAGTCCAGACATGACATGGGATTGATCTAAATGGCATTCGTTAAATGGACATGTCCATTGATCCATGACACCCCCCTTTTTGGCACAGACCTTTTGGGAATGGTCTCCATCAGTGGGGCACTGGCTCCACTCGGGCTAGACTGGACGAGGAAATCGCTTTCCGGTGCAAGCACTGGAGCAGACGACACGGCTGAGACAGGTCTAGTGAACCCAAGAACTTGGAAAGAGAAAACAGCCGTAAGATGAAAGGACTGGTGAAATGCTTCCAGATAGAAGACGTTGCCACCAGGCTTCCTCCCGCGGGCTTGATTCTATCTGCGGGGCCCATTCACTGACATTTGATTTGGTGTCATGATGCTGACACCTCCTTTGCAACCACCTCCACCTCTGAGCCGGATGCTGCTTGCCTGAACAACCAAACAAGTACTATAGCTTTATCACTCCCAAAGCCTCATGGCCTGGAATCCTTCAAATATTTCTTAAGCGCTGATGTCCTGCATGCCAAATGGAATGGAATTCCCGGTCTCCGAACATCTTTGAACTTCGGATATTGAGTGGTGGTCGTCTGCTTACAAGCGGCGTTCACCCAACCGCACACATGGGTATGCTTTGGCTTCATCGGGCACTCACGAAGCAGGTGTTCACCCAACAGTCAAAGGGGCAGTGCTTTTTCAATCATTTCCAAACGTCGAAGGCTTGTGGGCTTTGATCATTTTGGATGCACGGCTTGGCTGAGCGTCTTTCTCCTGCCTCTTCATTACGATGTGGATGGGTGAGGATAGATGGATAGGAAGGAGAGACTGTTGGGGCTTTTGCTTGTGAGCAGGCCGAGGTATTGTTTGTTGCGCATCCTCTGCCAGACAGGGTCTGTCAGAATGGAAAAGGTTCGGCACCTGTCCCTTTTGCTTCTTCTGAGCGAGTCCTTGAAAGCCCATGAATAGTACATAATTACATAAAGTTCTACACAGGGTCCCTTTCTTTCTTTTCCGCCATTCTTCGTGCGCTCGAATCGGACCATCCACCCATTTTGGGGGCGCAAGACGCGGCCAACGCTGCTGCACCCGCTGCAGGCGTACAAATGTGGAGCCAAGGATGCCAGTATTTGGAGCCTTTGCGAATGGCTCGTGTGCACAGTCGATCCCTAAGACGGCGGCACCGGGGGACGCCCCGACGTTCCTAGCGTCCCCTCCTCGCTCTGTACTGTAGCGATGCCAGGAGCCCCTATATAGTAGCTTCTGGTTCCTAGTAGGGCCAGGAGCCCCGAACGTAGCGTCTGAACGGATTCCGCACTATGTTCGGGATGTCAACCTACCATGGTCTGGTGGAGGAAGTTTTGACTCACGGCGATTTGTTGCCACTGAGGAAGCATCCAAGCTTCCACAAGAGATCCATTTGTCGCACAATGAGCTGACCACAGCATCTTTTCAGGCCACAAAAGACGCAGTTCGTCGATCAACCTGTCATCACATCAGTTCGTTCTCACTGCTGTTTGGAGGCTTTGGTCACAGTTCTGGAGGCGTTCATCTGAGTCGCCACGGGACCGGCTAGTCGTACCGAGCCGAGCCGCACCGAGCCAGGTGAAGAGCTTACGACACCGACCAAGCTATCCCTACTGGATTCGGATCGAGGAGAGGTGGCAGCTGTGCAACTGGTCCTGAAAGTAACAAGTGTCGCTAGTTTAGATGTAACAAGACCTTGCCAAAAATCTGATTGACACTTGATCAATCTTGATCAAATCTGTAGTGATTTGTAAGATTTTGTAAGTACATGTCATGTCTATAGATTCTATATAGTCTGTAGTTGACTCGGGACATGAATGCTCCATGGACCAGGGGAATCGAGTCTCCCTGGACGTCATCAATGAACTGTCCAGGGCCAGCAGCTTAGAGCAGCTCTATTTTTGAGCAGTCCTCTCTCTCTCTCTCTCTATCTCTCTCTCCCCACTCCAAATGAACCAACTCCAAGCTGGCCTGCTTCACTCTGTTGAAGTCTGAAGTCTTAGGTGGGGAAAGCTTGCTTGGCCGTTGGCAAATGCTCGACTCCAAGTGACACTGACCACCGAGTCCCGTGCCCCGTCTACTGACTCGTCGACCGACTCGGTCGGACCCCCGGTGAGGTGCGACCCGTGGCTGCGAACTGATGCAGCAGGGGCAGACGCACGGAACCCAGCTGCTTCATCCCCTGACGCCTTCCGATGGTTCCCTTTGGTCAAGGCCAGTGAAGAGTGACATAGACCTTTCAGCAGCATTACGACGTGCAGCGTGATCTTTGATTTGGAGTGAAACACTTCATCGTGTCTCTCAGTTTGACGCCCGCATTACTGCACCTGCGCGCGGCCCTCGAGGGCCGGTGTGGGCTGAACACCCCGGTGGGCCGAAGCACTCTGCACCGAGGCTTTGGAGGCAACCAGCGGCCGGCACCGACGTGGGCGACTGAGGGTCGATGTTTGGCGTGTGCTCGGTCCATCAAAGTTTCCATGAAGCTTTGTTCATGATAGTTTATGATGTTTATGCCCCACATGGACTTGCGTTTTCTTTTCCCACCAAGAACAATTTGCGAATGTTGAAGGTTGAGCTTCTGAGACACCGAGACACCCCTTTTACAGGCAAACTGGTGATGCTGAGACGCATGGCTGAGGACTGTGGCCACCTTCCCTTCTGTCGTGACTCAGTGTGATGTCAAGCCATCGCTGTCAATTGAACCTGGTAACCTGCTTGTATCGCCTGGAGCAGCTTTGAGGTCGTGAGTTCGATGAGTGGTGTTGCTCCACAGGCTCCGGTGCTCAGGGCCACTGGGTGGGGCTCGGGCTCCGGGGAAGGGCCGGGGGTCCGGTGCTCGGTGTTCTGGAGTGCACGGTGAAGGGCTCCGGTGCACGGTGCTGTCAGGAATCATTGGCTCCATCTGCTCCAGAGGACGCACAATGTTGGCATGGGATTTGCCTTCTGCAGTTTTGTTTTTCGTGTGTCAAGGCTTCAGGTTTCTGGTCACAAGACGTACATCAAAATATATCAAAATCACATGTGTTGAATCCGAATCTTTGGTGCCGATTTCCGCCGCTTTTTGACTCGTATGGCTTTTTGACTCGTTCGCAGAACCCTTCTGCGCTGCTGTCAAAGATCCGGATTGCCACGGTGCTTTGGTCGCAGATTGCAGAGAAACGCCGCCTGTGTTGGAGTTTCCATTTTTTTCTGACAGATCAAGAATCCAAGGACATGATGAAAGAACTAGAGGCAAGGACTATTGCTGCCCTATATGGTAGGTAGTAGTATGTTTTGCTTTTTCCACCCAATCAGGCAGCCAGTGGAGAACCCACGCGATCTTTGGCAGAGAATGCCGTCCACCTCCCAGCTGTGGGTGTTGGGTCAGCTCTGCTTGCAGCTGTCCTGAGGCTCAATGCGCTCAAGAGGAGCTGTTGGAGGCTCCCATGAATCAGACATGTGCCAAGAACACAAAATCTGTTGAACGAAATGTGTTGAACGCAAAGGGGTTTGAACATGGGTCTACATGGACTGTCTACCTGATGTTTCATGGTATTTACACCTGCCATGCTCTGTACATCATGGAGCCCACCTCTGCACCTCGACAATCCAGGCAGCCCACCTGGCCTCCATGGCAGCGAAGACTGCATGGCAGGCGTTCGCTCCATCCATCTCCGTTCGCTCCACCCGCTTGCTGCGCGGCCAGGTGACGGTCCAAAATGGGTGCGGTGCCCGGTGCGGCTCGCTGTGTTGCGTTTTCGGTTTGGAAAGGCGTTGCTCCAGGGCAGAAAGAAGAGTTGCAGGGCATTCTGTTCGGGTTAAGGACAGCCGAAATGCAGTGGCAGCACATGCAGGCATGGGCCTCTTGTCTTTTGGGCTTGGAAACTGACATGTTTGATCCCAATGCATCCTCTTCAGTCAACGTAAAGAAAAGCAGACACTAGGGCCGCGCAGGACGTCGTGTTAAGACCTTTCATCACTTTCGTGCATCGTGCGTCGGTGCGTCTTGCTAGTTTGAAGGCGAACATGCAGCTCGGAGCTCAGATGTGCATGGCTCTCTTCTTGAAAGAAGATTGGTTTGATTTGCCATTTGCCAGGCAGCAGCAACAGCAGCAGCAGTACCAACAGCAGCAGCAACAACAGCAGCAGCAGCAGCAGTACCAACAGCAGCAGCAGCAGCAGCAGCAGTACCAACAGCAGCAGCAGTACCAGCAGCAGCTTTGGCAGCAGCAAATGCAGCAGCAGCAAATGCAGCAGCAGATGCTTCAAGCCCAGCAGTGGCAAGCGGAGTTTCAAGCCCAGCAGATGCAATGGCAGCAGCTTCAGGCACAGGAACAAGCCCAACAACAGCAAGCGCAACAAGCGCAGCAAACGCAACAAGCGCAGCAAACGCAACACGTGCAACAAGCGCAGCAAGCGCAACAAGCGCAGCAAGCGCAACAAGCGCAGCCGCAAGCGCAGCAGATTCAAGCCGACGAGCAAAGCCTCAACCACCAGGCTGGCAGCCTCTTTTCGCTTTCAAGGGTTTGCATCAACAAAGTTTCTTCGCTTTGGTGAAGCCCACGCTCTCACGTTCTTGGCCGCAACAAAAGACCGTTGGTTTCCAGTGTGGTACCAACGTTTGATGTGCAGCACCAGTTGTCATCTTAAACTGGGCCCTAAAAAGATTGTTTTCCTTCTTTGCGTGTTAGACCCTGTTGGACATCTCTTTTCAGCGGCCCGACCCACCTGCTGCTACCTGGCCTGACTGATCCCACCCCATCCTGTCTCACTTGACTGGTAGAAGCAAGTCCGTGAGTCATGTGGGCAGCTTCTGAGAAGTGATGGGTGCAAGTACAAGCAGGGGATTGTAAGCACCAAACTCACAAAAGCCGAGTTCCTCTTTTCACTTGACAAGAAAGGGCTTCAAGTCGGTTCACATGCCCTCAACTGCACAAGACAACTCAAACGTTCTACATAGGGATAAGGTTTCTGCTCTCCCCTCCCTTGCGAAGCTGGGATCCTAGAAACCCCAAGAAAAAGCATTCTGTGCCCTATTCGCACATTCACATGAAAATTCAAAGAGCCTCATCGAGGTAAGAGAAAAGGAATAAAGCCCTCTCCACTCACAGTGCTCCGGTGCCGTTCTAAGCCGCAGGTTCTAAGGCCGTGAGCCCCGAACAAAGAGAAGCCACATTCTCCCATTTGAATCCAGCTTCAAACACAAAGGAAAACACTTCCATGCTCCCGCAGCAAAACGAACACATGCACTGATGCCATGTCTTCAAAAATCTTTCAAGCTCACAACCCCCTTTTCCTCTTTAGTGCCCAAGTTAGCACCTCTCAGCACTTCCCGAAGCACTCGACAACGGCTCACCTGTGCGCATCAGGATGCTGTAGCCAAACCATCGTTGGCGAAGATAGTGCATTGGTGGCTTCCTTTTCGACCATCTGATCGCAGCAACATACGACCATCATCCAACCATGCCACTGTGACAACCCTCGAGGATAAGCCAGTCGCCGCGATGGGCAAAGCAAGATCACTGTCGAAAAGCTTCTTCCGCCACCCTCCATGTCTAAAAATCTTCACAGTCATCACCCCTTCTGGAAAACGAATCACACACTCATGGGTGATCCCATTTGACGGCTTGACCACAAGGATGTTCATCACGCTGGGATTGAAGAGCCATGCGACACCACGTAGCTCCTCACTTCTCAGCCTCTCCAAAAAGGTGGCCATGTCTTCACCACCCCTTGAGGTGTATGCCTCGAAGTCCAGGTTCCTTGGGATTGGCATATTCATCTTTTCCACTCCCTTTTCACTTTCTTGTGGTGCTCCCTCCTCACATAGTCCCCCTTCTTGTACCGGAGGAGGTTCATGATGTAGGTGTTCAACCCCGAGGTGCCCGTCGCTCGCACACTCCTGACTGCTAGACTCGAGCTTCCCCCTCCACCTCTAGAAGTGCTGGATAGTTCGCTCACTTCCATCGGATCTGATGACAATCCTTTCGATGACAATCTGTGCAATCCTGTCACCCACCTCAAACGAAATCTCCTGGTCCCCGTGGTTCGCCAGAATGACCTTGACCTCCCCGCGATAGTCTGAATCAATGACCCCTCCTGCCACTTCCAGTCCCCTTGACGCCAGAGAACTGCGGGAAGCCACTCTGCCGTAGCATCCTTTGGGAATCTCCATCGCCAGCCCCGTAGAGACTAACTTTCGCTCTCCAGGACCAATCTGCACCTTCATCGAAGTTGACAAGTCCCAGCCCGCTGCACCAGGTGACCCTCTGTGTGGTACGGTGGCTTCCTCCTCCAGAAGTTTCACCTTGATGCAATCTTTCCCAGCCACCAATCGTCTCACTAACTCCAGTCCCAGGTCCTTCAACATGTGCAACAAGCAAACCAATCCTGCCAGTAGCACCAACCAACCCAGATCTCCCATCATAGATGATGTAGGCTGAGCCGGGAAATCACCCTTCTCACACACCTCGGCATGCTCGCAAAATCGCTTCATCTCTTTGGGTCTCACTCCAAAAGGGGTTCACCTGAGCTTGCGGTCCCAATGTCGTGGGCACTAGACTCAGGTGTTCTCTCGGAGGTATGCTCTGACATGGCTCTAGCACGCAGAGGTAGGTAAGGTTGGGCTCATAACCCACCAAACTCACAAAAGCCGAGTTCCTCTTTTCACTTGACAAGAAAGGGCTTCAAGTCGGTTCACATGCCCTCAACTGCACAAGACAACTCAAACGTTCTACATAGGGATAGGGTTTCTGCTCTGTAAGAACCAGTTCAGTGTGTTGGTACCAATACAGATTCATTCATATCCTTGCATATTATGGTATAGCCTGATATAGCTGTGTGGTGATCCTTTTGCTGCTGTTTGGGATTTGTTGGGATATTGGATAGGCCTCAATATCCGAGGCTTGCTCCATGAATGCTTCCGAAGATTGAACATGCCAACAAGTGCTTTGCACTTCTCGAGGTGCCGGATGTCTCCATATCTGCAGAGGAAGCTTCTGATGTTGTCAACAGGCGAGGTCCTGACATGACAGCCTTTCTATCAATTGACTAATTCAATTTAAGTAGCACCTTTGCAGAGCATTGTTCTTGATTTTTGCTTGGTTCTCAGTGACTCTCAGTGGTTGGCCTGAGATTTAAACAATTTAAGACATTTAAGCGGCAAAAGAATGCAAAAGAGCTCATCTCGAATCAGGACAATCAACAGGGCGAAGGCCAAGTTGGCTGCTGCAGAAATTGAGGCACGGATGAAGGAGCCACGGTCTTTTCCGACGGTTTGCAGTGGTGTTTGTCATTTCAGCACGCGACTTGGGGCTGCAAGTATTGCAGCGAGCTCTACTGGAACAGGAGAACCAAGAGCCCCCAAAGGAGCCCCCAAAGGAGTCTCCGGAGGCGTGGAGTTGAGAGTGGAGCTTGCAAGCCCGCCATGACTTCCCGTCGTTCGAAGGAATCCAAAAAGGCGATCCCGGAGCCCAAGAAAGGACAGAACGAGGGACCGGATGTAAAGGAGTCCAAAGATGGTGGCTTGGAAGAATTGGACGAATCAGAAGGATCATGTCATCTCAGCATACTTCGCAGACACACATGACATGATATGATCTATAAAAAACACATATACATGCATTCTTCTCACATGGTCTATCAATCATATTGTTCTCACAGCTTGCTTACACCTTCGTTCACTTCGTTCGCAACCATTGGTGCTGACACTCGTCACTTCCTCGATGTGCCAGGTCCTCCGCGGCGCACTTCAGCCAAAGAGTCGACCTCCGAGCCCAGGCGACCAGATTGGGACTCGGATGTCAAAGACCATTGTATGAAGTCTCTTGTAACTCATTGTAACTAATAGCTTCTTGTTACTACTAGTAAGGCACTTGTTACTAGTAGCGATGCACTTGTTCCTAGTAGCTTCTTGTTTCCAATAGCTTCTTGTTACTACTAGTAAGGCACTTGTTACTAGAAGCGATGCACTTGTTCCTAGTAGCTTATTGGACACGACTGGGTGAGCAGGGACAGAGAAGGCTCAGATGGCTCAGATGGGTCAGCATTCTGCCGCACGGTTTCCCGCACGACGTCACGAAGTGCTGCCCTGGTTTCGCACCAAAGAGTCCATACTGGGCTCGGTGTTGCACGCAGTGGATACCCCAGCTCTTGCTCAGGGACAGACATTGAGCAATCCACTTTTGGTCGCACTTTGACACTTCCCTTGAATCCGATCCGGTTGTCAGTGCGGAGACAAGAAGGGAGAGGTTTAGAATTCAATGGTTGAGGAGACCAGACTCATGGCAAAGATATATGCCTCCCGGAACCGGAGCGGAACCGGACCCTTTCCGTTCGCCTGCTCCAGGCGACCACGTTCGGAGCGGTGGAGCGAACTCGGTGGTTTTTCGGTCAACACTCCAACGACCCTTTTGCTCCAACGCGTGCGCACTCCAATGACCGAAAAACCACCCACCCGAGCCGAAAACGCAAGCAAGGAGGAAGCCGGCAGCCAAGCCGAGTTCCGCTCCGGTCAAAGAGTCTACAGAAGAGAGGCGAAGTCTGACCGTTGCTTGCATTGCTGACCAAATCTCTGTGGTTTGGACCAATGATTCGTTTTTGATGTTTGTTGAAATTCAAGATGAATCCGTGCAAGGAAACTTGCAACCAAGCGCCTGGCTCTCAAATGTTGATCTTCGGCGCACTTTGGTACACGCGGCTTCCTCTCGGCCAAACTCAGGACCAGCTGATCAACCGAGACCGACCCCAAAAAGGCCTGGACACACACTTGGCATGTAGCCAACATAATCCAGCCACCTATATAATTATCATTAATTATCTTATATTACTTTTTACATTACACTATACTATATACACACAATGACACCAGCATATAATATGACGTCCATATCCATCCAGAACCAACGAGTCGCCCGGCTCGAACGAGACCCCGCAGGTCTCCGAAGCCCATCTCGGTCCACAGCCGCAGCGCGCGACGGAGCAGCCGGCGACGGTCCAGCAGCCGCCGAAGGCGTCCGGCGACGGTGCCGTGTGGTGCTTTCCGACACAGAGGTGTTTGGTGTCTTGTCTTCTTAGGTGCAAAATCGGTGAAAGAACGTAGGTCATGCTTTTATTGTAACTCAGGTGCTTTTGGCTGGTCCAGCTTGGGGCATCCAAAGAGAGGAGTGGGGAAACTGGGACTTTGGCAGGTATCAGACTCGGCGACGCCAGTCGTCCCACTCACGGCGGAGGCCTGTGGCGCCTAGCGGATGCCACACCCACAGCCAACCGACTAGCCTTCTTGCTACTAGTAGCTTCTTGCTACTAGTAGCGATGCCAGGAGCCCCTAGTAGCGTCCTTGCTCCTAGTAGTAAGGCCAGGAGCCCCTAGTAGCGAACATTGCTCCTTTGGAGGTTCTGTTAAACTCTGTTGGGTCAAGACCGGCTGTGGTGGTCCCTACTTGTGCCAAAGTCGGACGGACATGTTTTTCCCAGGAATCCCCATGTTACTCTCAAAGCCGCTTGTGCGAACCAATCTCCATTGCCACGTGGCCGCACTTTTCAACAACATTCACATCTTCCTCGTTGACTTCGTCCTTCACCTTCATGTTCTTCTGGATATTCTCGTCGTGATGATCGTTCTGCTCACACACTCACCACCACTTCGACTTGTGGTCCCGGCGCACATCAGCCATTTTCACGCCCTTCATGACCACAGGCCCCGCGCCCGACTGATCTACTTATCTTTGGCTTCGAACGGACCTTATCGACTGGTCTCCCTTAAAAGACACTATATAATGGCTGGAAGGGTTGACCCCAAACCTGGAGCTTTTGCCGCGAACGACCTTCCAGGTTGATTCATGCGAATCGTACCACCCACTCGTCGATTCCATGGTGTACAGTTTTCTTTGGATTACATACCCTACTCCCAGATACCCGGTGAAACCGAAGGGTCATGGGAAACGCCTCAGACAGAGTCCACAAGTATCGGTCGGTCAACCGACAGGTATCCTGGTTTTGACCTACAGCCTGTAGATAGTGTAGATATGTGAAGATGCACTTGCGTAGACGGCTGCTGGTCTGTGGCCAGGCGTTTGAGCCGAAGCCGCACACGAGGTGAGACGAACAACTTGTTGCAACCGCCCGGTCGACGGCGGCCTCGTCTCCACCTGAGAGGCCGAAAGCTTCAGAAAGGCAGGAGACGTGGGGTCTGCAACGTCTACAACTGCTTGGTTTTGTTGGACATCTTTTGTGTACTCTGTTTGCTCTCTTTCTTTGGTTTTCACATGGTCTGATGAAAGGACAGACGGACTCTACCAGGCCCGGTGTGACTCAGTGACTGGAACGCTGTAGGTTCACCCTCTCCTCCTCCATGGAGAGCCTCTCGCCGACGAGAGAACACGAAGGCTGAAAAGGCCAAAGGTAAGGATGACGAGAAGAAGATTGAGAAGAAGAAGGAGGCCATCGCTATTAGGTTGGAGGCCATAGCTATTAAATTAGGTTGGAAGCCATTGCTATTAGGTTGGATGCCATAGCTATTAGGAACGCCATTGCTACTTTCGGTTGGAGGCCATCGCTATTGGATGTATTTCTGAAGGAGACAAGGACCCCTGAGGAAAAGAAGGACACCAAAGAGACTGAAGTCAAAGAGGCTCAAGAGGCTGGTTGAAGGTTTTCCCAGAAGTAACTTACAGACACATGAGAGACAGATATTCTTCCACTTTTTCAGTGACTCTCTTTCCGGTGGCGAAGAGGCCTGCGATCAGGAACTTCAAAGCAAGAGGCCTGCTCCCGTGATTCAATCGAATCAACTGTGCGATGTTGAACTGCAGGGAGCGGCTGGCTGAAATGGCCAACCTCAAAGCAAGCGTGGCCGCCCTGTTCGAAGGGTCGTCCAGGCATGTATTTTCGAACGACCGCCCTATTCAGCGCTGGAATGACCGCCAGGCTGGTGTAGAGCTTGATTGTGCTACTCGCAGTGCGCCTGCAGAGCATCCTTCAAAAAGCGTGATCTTTTTGGAAGAAGGGAGCATTTTCAAGAGGAAGATAGGGAGAGATGTCACATCATTCTTATCTTGCTTTCGCAAGCAATTCTTGGTGTCTTGCTGTGTTTGCATTGAGCGTGCACCACTGTAGCTTGGTATGTCTCTCAGCCTGCCCACAGATGCTAGATTCACACACATGAGATGAGATGAACAGCAATTTGGCAAATGTGTGCTCTCCTCCAGCACAATGAGAAGACATCCCAAGCAAAGTGCCACTTCAAGTCTGGAAATCCTAGCAGCAATGAACCGTTTGATAACAGAGACATGACACCGACAAGCCCTTCTGGTGGAACTTCATGGGCGTGAAACCCACAACTGAAAGCTTTCGAAAAAGGGGAACGTCAGAGATTCGAAGGCTGAATCGGCCAATGGCATGGCGGGTGTTGCGAGGCACCGCTTCAGGCCGGTGATTTCATCCATGGAATCGTTCCATGACCGCTTCGGGCCTCGCAAGAAAGTCACCCTTAAAGTGAATATAAATGAATAGACAAGTCTGGTCCCTTGGAGAATGTGTTGGAAACTCATTCCAAATACGTATTTTTGGGAATATATGCTCACATAGTCACATAGTCGCTTGGCCAGCAACCTTTGCTGTTGTTAACCAGTGAAAAAAACACAGGTCCCAGTGATTGCTAGAGGTTTGCAGACATCTCTGCAGGTGCCTGTCAGCAAGGTTCAATTGTAGGCGCCTTAGTTTGAACGGTCTGGTAAGATGCAATGCAAATGTCCTCAGAGTTGCTGGAAGGAGAACACTTTCTGTCGGCGGCAGTGACTGCCACACAAAGCTATGATGACGATACCTTCCCATTCTATCATATTCTATGATTTTATATGCTATTCTATGTTATATGTTCTATCATATTCTATGAATTTCAATGAATTTCTATGATATTCTATCATATTCTGTCATAGTCTATCATATTCTATGAAATTCTATGAAATTATGTCATATTCTGTCATATTCTATCATATTCTATTATATTCTAGCATCTTCTATCATATTCTATCTTATTCTATAATATTTTATCTTATTCTATCTATCTATCTATCTGTCTATATATCTATCTATCTACCTAGCTATCTATGTATGTATCTATCTATCTATCTATTTCCAAGTGGGCACTGGCTTGTGAAGTGCACAACTTTTCTTAAAATGATGACAATTGATATTTGCTTTGCTTCTTTTCTTGTGGGTTTGCATCGCAAAAGACCAAAGAGAGCACTCCACGGCTGCAGTCAAATGAGTTCTTGGATCAGTTGTAGGTTCTGCTTGCCATGCATAAGGCCTGGCGAATAGCATGGCTTTTGCTGGCACTTGCCATCGGAAACCTTTGGCCAATGCCTCAACCATTTGCATCTCATTTTTGGACGAGTTCGTGCCTTTTCCACTTGGAATTCGGGGCTGTTTGGTCGATTTCAGTGCCCAGTCTCAGTCGAATTTTTCGCAGATATCGTCAATTTCATGGAGCAGCCAAGGCCTGACGGTCCGCCTTCGAAAGCATTTGCGCGAAAACATGTTTTTCCCGTTGGCCTCCGCGAGCTCCGACAGAGGAGTTGGGTCCAACGGGTTCCGGTCCGCATGCGAGCGGCGCGTTGCCTTGTCAGCGATGAGGATCCAACAGGGAGATCTTTCACGGCAGGAGTATTCTTCTACTCTAGCCAGTAGGTGCCTGAGGATTGGACGAACATTCGGATTGGACGAACGTGACGAACGTGGTGCATGAGGTTTGCAAAAAGCTTACGAGCAAGAGATGGTGAAGTGGATGCCTTAAATTTTGCGAGGCTGATAAATATGGGTTCTTGTTACCTTCACTTGCGTCCCCAGGTGGGGCAGAAGGAGAAAATGGGAAAAGGCCGATTGATGGCTTTGAGCTTACAGAGGGTGGACCATAGCACGGCCGTTCGTCGAGTCAGGCTTTGGGTTTCCTTCAAGAGATGAAAGACTTTGACTACCAGCCAGGGGTACTTGCCTTTGAGTGAGCCACACACAATTCCAACTCTTCCACACGCTGAGCAAGGTACCGGCTTATTCTGCTGCCATTCGTGCATGTTGCGAGAAGGTGAAGAGGTCGTGGTGGGACTGGCTCGCTTGCACCAGCGTTGGCCCTTCCTGGCGTCGTGTTTTGGCTTAGAGGCCACGAGGTTTGGCTCTTTTAGAGGAGATCAAGGACGTGCCTTCGCTCGTCCTTCACGCAGACTGGGACTTTTGATCACTTGACTGTGAAGCACACGGTGATTCCACAGTAGCGCAGGATCTTGGCATGGTTCCAGATGAAGCAGCATTCTCTGCGGCTTTGTCCGGCTGTGTGAAGGTGCCGGCATGTCACATGCGGTGCATGATGTGATCGCGAGGGAGTCGGACTCGTTCGATGAAATCGACCAATGGGAGGATCGGCAGTGGAAGCTCTCTATCCAAGTTTTGCGTGACATGCTGAGTCTGGAGCTTGGACAACACATGCGTTGAGGTGGAATGGCCCAAAACGAATTGATCAAACACGCACAGGGATACTGGGTGATCCATGTCTGCTTGCTTTTGAATGTCAGCAGCCAGCGTCGATCTTCTCAACTTTGTAGGTACTGGAGCTCGCCGGCGTAAAGCGACGTTCATGGACGCGCTCCATGCTTGCCAGCCAATCTGGCTGGTATTTGGACCGGAGGTTACACCGTCTACACCTCAAGCTGGCCCATAGTAACTTGGAGGTAGACAACCTAGAGGATTCCTAGAAGTGCTGTGAGTAAATGAGTACTTATACTTATAGGATCTTATAGGCAGGTGTGGTGGTGGGGTGTCGTTGGGGCACCACGGTGTGGGCACCGGGCGGATGCTCCGCCAGCGCAGGTGCGGAGGACTCTGGCAAGATGCCATTGACATCATAGAAGACACGATCTCAGTGGCTCTCATGCGGGAACAGCACCAGGAATGACCACATCCATGGAAGAAGCTGAAAGGGACTGCACCACTACCTTGCTTGTTTCAGGAGGGACCGCAAGGGTGGGCTGCCCTCACCATAAACATCCCCATTTACATCCATTTACCATGGCCCTGTGAGCATCCATTGACTAGGGCCAGGGTAGGCATGATAACCAAGGTCATGGAGGAGTCAGACATTGACCCCGCAAGCGAAGGCTTCAACAAGGCACGGCATGGCAAGGCATGTGATGGCAAGAGTGGGTGGACTCACTATCCAGGCGATGGATGCCTGCCTTACTGCCAACGAGGCCGTGATTCTAGAGGGGAATTTTGCCGAAGATGCTTTTTGCAAGACTCCCAACCAAACTTGGGCAGGATGACTGGTTTGATGTCATGGAGGACAAAGCTGCAGCTCGTGGCTATGAAATTATTTTGTGAGAAGAAGCCAAGGGGCTCGTGGCAGGGTCAAACGAATCACTCGTCAGCCCTCGAATCAAGTTCCCATGGCATCGCGTGTGCTCAGCAAGCGTGTGCGAGCGTCCAAAAACAGGAGGCGTGATCAACTATCGAGCGAGCTCTTCTACAATGCTGCATTGTTCTTCTCTACAAACTGGCCCAATGGCCCTTTGACATGGCCCAACACCATCGCTCAGGTTATTGGCTCAAGGAGCTGGCCCAATGAGATCGACATCAGCAGTCCCTACGATTCCATTCGAGAACGTGTTTCTATCCGTGTATACACGAACATGCTTACAAAGACCAGTGATCCTGTCTCTTTCGTCCGGGGTAGTTCGCGGTTTTAGTCTTCCAATGCGTGCTGCTTGAGCAGTTCAATGTATCAGGTGGTGATTGTATGTGATTGTCACTCTCGTGTCGCTATTTCACTCTATGAAGCCAGGGACATAGAAGCTAGTAACAAGGGCATCGCTACTAGTACAAGGGCATTACTACTAGTAATACTAGTAGCGTCCGAAGCTACTAGGTGGACATTGTTCTCTTTGTTTGTCTCTTCGGCTGTGTTCAATTAGCCGACCGACCACCTCGGCAAGCCGACCGCAGGGATGCTGGTGCCCAAAGCCGAGGCGCCACAAGTGACGACCCGGAGCTTCGGTCTAATAGCTTCTTGTTACTAGTAGTAATGCACTTGTTACTAGTAGCGATGCACTTGTTACTACTAGCTTATTGTTACTAGTAGTAAGGCCAGGAGCCCCTAGCAGCGTCCTTGCTCCTAGTAGCGATGCCAGGAGCCCCTAGTAGCTTCTTGTTACTTGCTTAAGTTTCCCAAAAAATCTAACCACATCATTAGTGAGAGCGCTTCTTCAAGGAAGCTCCCCCCAGGCATTTTGGCTCACAGCCTCGTGCCTCACGCCCCCACGCAAGGGCCGGGGTGTGGCTACTGGTCCCTGTGGCCAGGGTTACACGTCCAAAGATCTGGTCCTCACCTGGATCAGGATTGCTGATGACGATGGATAGCAAGAAGAAAGATGGGTCATTGTCGCGACTTGGATTCATCGATTGGGCTACGATGGGCATGGCAGACAGCCTGAGTGCCTCCGTTCGGGAGGCACTGCTTGCCATTGCTACTACAGGTGAGTGCAAAGCTGCAGGGGAAGCCTGGATTCTCTTTGGTGAGGTGACTGAGGTGCTGAGCCTGAACCCGTTGCATGTTCAGGTTCACCGCACTTCTATGCTGCTGAATGATGAGGGAGTTGGGGACATGTGGCCTCATTTCGACCTGATATGTCCCATCAAGCATGACCGTGTTGACCTGTCAGTTGGTATGAGCATTGGGGTTCAAGTGCAGCCGCACCATCGACTGCAAGCAGGGAAGATCATTGCGGATGCCACTGTTCCTCTTTGGAACCTCCCTCAATTTGACAAACACCTTGCATGGAATGTCAGTCACCTGTTTGCAGGAGCGTATGAAGGGTGGTTGCGGGCAATGTGGTGGTTACAGCAAGCCAACCTCGGTTACTCCTTTGCCACGCATACATCAGTTGATTGGTGCCCAGATGTAATGAAGACTTGGAGCTTCAATCATGGACATGATGCTCAGGAGGCCCCAATTGAGGTTTGCTATAACTCCCTTGAGGTCTTCAATGGCATTCGTGCAGACATCAGTGAGCCCACTCTCCCAAGAGCTACCTCGAATAAGTCCAATTTGGTGATGACTCTCTCGCCTCCGTGCCCAAGTTGGAGTAGAGGGGGGCGCAACTCCGGTTTGGCGACAGATGATGGTTTTTGCTTCCTTGATGCGATTCACCATGTGGCCAAAGTTCGTCCAGTGCTTGCTATCTTTGAGTGCTCAGACGGCATCGAGGCACACCAACATTGGAGAGCCCTGTCAGCAGCATTGCAGTTGAGTGGGTATAAGAAGCTATGGTCGCAAGACGTTGCCATCCATCAACTCACTGGGAATCATCGCAACCGATGGCTAGCCGTGTGGGCACGCCAGGATGTCGAAAGCAACAAAAGCACAGAACGCATTGTTTGCTCTGCTGTGAAGCGTGTTCCCTGGGATGATCCCAAACATCTCTTTCACCTGCCTGGGGGCTTGATTGATGCTCTTTGTCTCAAACCTGAGCAGTTGGAAGTATATGGGGATCGCCAGCTCCTTCCACCGAGTAAGAAAACACGTGTGGCTGAAGATGCATTGATGCAGGATGTATTGGAGCAGCGCCTCCTTCAACCAGGGGATTACCTTCCTACGCTATGTGCATCATACACTGGCCAGCATTGGCTCCAAAGAGACCACCTGGATGCAAAAGGAATCTTTGCCACCTTGATCCGACATGGAGAAAGCTTTCGGTTCATTGACCCATTTACGTTTGTCACGTTATTTGGCACATCTGACTCCATTGGATTGCCGACTGACTTACGGAAAGCCTTTCATCAACTTGGCAATGCGATTTCTCAGCTTCATGCTTTGGTTGCCATCCTCTTTGCATTTGAAGGAGTCTCTGGAGATACTTTTCCTAAGCTGACTCTCGTACAGCAGTGTTGGGAAGACCGATTGACTGTTGACAAAGCCTTCATTCGCCAGTGGGATAACATGTTTGTGCTTCAGCCGTTTGCTGACTTTGTGGCCAAAGCCCTTCCTAGCATTGTGACCTGGCAACCTTGGCTTGCAGGTAGAACTCTGATCAGATTTGGTGATGACCTCAGCTTGGTGCCATTGAATGTGCCGGCAGGATATGATGCTATCTCCTATTTCCTCGAGAAGTTGGACCTAGGGGTTCACCACACACCTCTGCTTCAGCTTGTCTTTGATGGACGCTGCCTGCCTGCCAGCAGCCAATGGGATGACCTACCATGTGGGGATGTTGTTGCCAAACTTGGACCACACACGCTGTGTACGTTGCAGATTGTCAGAACTGGCACTGATCACACTGATGCTGATCCTATTCTCTCCCCTACGCAACCATGGGGAGGTGATGAGATTGACCCTGGACTTGACCAATTGGTGGATGCCCAACAATGTGGATTCCTCCATGCCGTGGAGTATCTATGTCAAGATGATGAGCCGCAGTATAAAGGTCGAGTCCTCCTTCTGCAACAAGATGGCAGCTTTGACTGGATCAATGATGCGAATCTTGAGCGCCTGGGGAGTATCCCCTCCTTTCGGCACCAAGGCCAGGCTATGCACTTCTTCAAAGCCAATAAGGATGCATGTCAGCAGCTCTTAGGCATACATGTTGTGATGGCCATACAGGGTACCTATGATCCGGTCAGTTCTGTCAAGTGGGTCCTGCTTGCTGGAGGCCAGGCTCTTCGCTGGTGCAAGATATGCCAGGCTCAAAGAACTACTACACCACGCCAGTGCAATGAGCTGCTCGGCCAAGAATGTGATATCACCTTGCGAAATCTGGTCAAGTGTCAACCCGATCAGCCAATGATGCTCATCAATGGTGATGTATTATGGAGTGGCGCCCCTGCAAGACAAGGGACTCCACTTGCCTTTGGAGGCATGGATCGCCTTGTTGACAACCCTAGCTGCAATGTCACAAATGACCTTATGAACGCTCGGCTGCTCCAGTTCAACTTTGAGCCAGGTGCACTGGCGCTTGATGAAATGGTCTTCCACTTTGACTTTCTGCAGATCCTGATGCCCTCGATTTGCTGGTGTCCTCCGGCTATTTGGATCAACAATGAATCCCAGTTCCGATTCCCGGTGCAGCCCACTGACCTACAGCGCTGTTACCAGCATTTTGTGGTACCTATCCTCGTTGTCTTCGATTGGATTTTTGTTGAGGTCAGGTTCTTTGAGGGACAGTGGAGAGTGTTGTACCACTCACCAGAACAGCTGACCATTCGGCAATCGACTGCTATCCTGGAGCTTGTCAACACTATGGGAATCCAGGTTGCACCCAATGCCTACAGATGGGTTCGCACTGCAGAGGACTCTGAGCTTGCAACCTGGCACACACTCCGGACATTCTATGCTCGTGCTGGGGCACCACTGCTTCCTACCTCACACCGAAGCACACAGCGACTCCAACGAGATCAGTATTCGGCCCATGTGATGCAAATCATTGACCAATCGGACTTTGTTTGGAGGGAAACAAGGGCAGATGACAGAATGATTCACTTTGCGCAAGCTGCCCGAACCGCCTTCCTCCTGGCAATCACTGAATCACCGAGCCGTGCTTCTGACCTCCTCCTTAGGGCAACAGGCAGGGAGATCCATGCCTATGATGTCCGTGAGATCTTCTTTGTGTCAGAGGAATGGCTTGACATGCGCCTCAATATCTATAGGACCCACCCAGGCTGGGCTACAAGCGATGAGATTGAGTTTGCCATGAGCTTCTTTCTCCCAGACACCTTTTGTCCGCCTGTTCTGCATCATGATCTTTCCTTGATTGCACCAAGTGTCAAGCCGACCTGTTCTGAAATTCAGCGCTTTGTTGCTCTTCGTGAGGGGCACTGGATAGGCATCGAGGTGGTTTGCAACCCGGAGGAGAGGACATGTCGTGCTGTGTTCCTGCAGGTCCCACCGCGAGATCAGCAGTTCTGGCATGACTTCGCTATTGACTACATCATTCCATTTGGCTTTCGCCCAGTCATCATTATTGACACTAATCGCACTCGTCCTGGCATGTGCGGCTGGGAGCTGCTCCACAGATGGATTGTGGTTGATTTGCGTTTGCCAGATTCGTTGCATGTGCCTCACCAGAAACGGCAAGTTCTTGATGTCATTCTTGAGGAATCCAACCAGGCATGGCGAGTTGCAGGAGCGCCACCAATGCTCAGGGCCTTTGCTGAGAACCTGCGCCGGCTCTTCCTGGTTGTTGGAGGTATCCATTTCCTGCAACCATGTGCAGCGGTCTCATTGGGAGGAATGGAGGGCCAGACAGGTACTGATGCTCCAATGACGACAGTAGACCCATGGCAGATTGAAGATCCTTGGAAGCCGAAAAAGAAGACACTCAAGCAGAGCAAATGGGAAGACCTCCAACTCCAGTCAGATCATCCTTTTGTGGCCAAAGACAAGACGGCCCTACCATTTGTGCAGAAACAGCAGCTTTCTACAAATCGAGGAGGTATTGCCTTCGTTTCCAAGGGCAATGTCCAGCAAGCACGGGAGATTGTCCCCAAGGAGCCTTGTGCGCTTCTCCTCCCAATGATTGATCCGACTGACCCGTTGGCAAAGCTGGCCAATCTCATGGGACCCTTTGAGGTCATTGTCTTTGACCCAGCTTTGGATCAAGAATATAAACGGCAAGTCCACTTATTGGTGATTACACCAGAGGTTCACTTCACTCTGCCTACACCGGCTATCACGCTTACTCTGGCTGCGGTTTGTGAAATTGTGCTGGAATGTGACATCCGCCTTACTGCGAAAGATGTCTTTCAGAGCTTTTATGACAACCCGCTTGCCAAGTTCAAACTGCAGCTGAAGGAGGTCTGTACTGATCCAATTTGGGGGCATGCCGCTATCTATGGCTACAGAACAGTTCCCGAGCCCTCCAAGGAGAAGCATGACATGATCCACCAATGCCTGCTGAAGGTACAACAGAAGCACAGGGTCCCCCTTCTGTCTGCAAGTGGGATCGGAGAGCTGATGGTCAGAGACTTCATCCCC